ATGGCGAGCAGGGGGGAGCAGGGGGGAGCAGGGAGGGGGAGGGGGGGGGGGGCAGCGCACTTTCGAGGGACAAGGACTTGAGCGTGGCTCGGTGCTTCTCAATGGCCGCATAAAAGCGACTGTTCCGCATGATCACGGACGAGTAGACTGGGTCTTGCGTATCAGCAATCGGGCCAGCCGAGGGGGGGGGGGGCAAGGGAAAAGGCGGCGGCGATGGCAGCGGCGAGAAAGGAAGGGAGAGAGAGGGGGGGGGGGAGAGGCAACCGCCAACAGGACGGCTTCACGCACAGGAAGTGTAGCACTTGTATGTGAACCTTGTGAGGGGGGCCTGGGACTCGATGAGCGCGGCAATGTCATCGGCACCTGAGGGCGGAGGGAGGGGGGGCGGGAGGGGACGCGGCATGGCAAGCACAGCCGACGAAAAAAAAAAAAAAAAAAGAAGCGAGTGCAGCAGTAGGAGGCACGAGAGTTAGCCACGAGTCGGGGGCGGGAGGGCCCAGCACGGGGCCCAGTCGGTCGGGGCACAGCAGTGCCCGGGACGCGCGTGCGCGTGGACGCACGGTCAAAATGGTCGGAGTGCGTGATGACCAGCTCATCAGCCGGGATGTGCTCGTCGCTGAGGAAGTACGCCCCGACCGGCGAGCGGATCGTCCGAACAAACAGCTGGCTCCCCGGGTGGAAGACCGAAATGAGTGTCGGCGGAGGCAGCTGGGTCTGCGAGTCCAAGGTGTATAATCCCCCGAGGATCGCATTGTCCAGGGTCCGAGAAACTGAGGAGGGGAGCTGCGGCCAGAGGAGCGTCTCCCAGGAGCTCTGTCGGGCATGGCGTGGCCGGGGAGCCATGATGCCGGACGTCCAGACCGACGGCCCGCCGCTGTCCAGCTCAAACGGGCAAAGATGCTGCTCCGGCTCGCCCCAATGCGACTCGCGGATGGCCAGCCCGGCGTTCCAGCCGAGAACCGCGCCGAACATGCGGAAGGCGTCCTCATGACACTGGGGGAAGAAGCGCGCATGTACCCCGGACTTGGGGAAGACCCGCGGCAGGGAGGTCAGCTGCGAGGCCAACATCGAGGCAAGCTGCACGCAGGGAATGCAAGGCCCCCCGCGCAAGGAGGACGAGGGGGAGGACGAGGACGAGGGGGAGAAGGAGGGGAAGGAAGGCCCGGCAAGCACGGCGAGAGTAGATGGGCAGGCGTCCTCGCGTCCTGCGGCTTCGAGTCCTTCTCCCCGGAGCCAAGGGGAGGGGGGGCAAAGGCGAAGGGCGGGAGGCCGGAAGGGGCAGGGAGGGGAGGAAGGTGGAGGCGGTGGCGGAAGGGGCAGGGAGGAGGGGTTTGCGGGGACACTTGCTCGGCCGCGGGGGGATGGGCCCCGCCCAGGGAGTGACCGATAAACAGCTGGGCCGTGATCTGTCTGGCCATCCCTTCCCAGAGCGCCGGGATCAATTGTGGGTAGCCGCCGGCCGGGCCGGCGGACGGCCAGGCACGCGGGTCAGGTGCCGGTGCAGGCGTGGGCGCGGGCGTGGGCCCCTCTTGCCCCCTTGCGCCCGCTTCCGAGGCGCCCCTCCCCCCCCCCGTGGCGGCAAGTGTGCACAAGCGAACACAACGCGCCTGCACCATTTGCTTGCTTCGGCGGCCATCTGATGTGTGATCCGGGGGGGGGGGGGGCGTGGGGAGGGGGGCGCCCGTGCCCAAAAAAAGGCCCCAGCACCGGGAGCGATCCTGGCCCCAGTGTGCGCGAGGCCACCCGAGCCCGCGAGGGGGGAGGGTGGGGGGGGGGGACGTCCTTCGGGACTTCCTTGGTTTACCAAGCCGTGTCCGGACGCGACGAGGGGGGCCTCGCCGTCCCGCCCGCCCGCCCGCCACCTCCCGGGCGGAGCAGATCGTGAGTGCGGAGCGCCGTGAATCGGGAATGTTATTTCGATTGTCGACTTTTGACACGATATTTGATATCTCGTTCGTCGGCAGCTGCGCGCCATTTGCAGCGAATGCTCCTCATCTCGGCTGAACCATTGGCACGCGTCATCTTGCGCCACCCTCGGCCTGGTGGTCTTTTCACCGGGGGGGGGGGGGCGTAGATGGCCCAGGACGGGGGGGGGGGGGGGGGGACACGGTCGGGCGCGGCAGATCGCCCTCGCCCATGTTCCGGCATGGGGGCGGCCGGGCGGCCGGGCGGGATCTGCCGCCGGTCGTCAAGAGCAAGTTCCCCCCTGGCACTGGCTTGTTGCATGCCATAATCAATGGTTCTGCCTCCGGCCCTTTGCGCCCCCTCACCCCACTCCCTGATCCCCCGTCCCCTCGCCTTTGCGCCAGCGTTTGCGCCGACACCTGCGCCCGCGTCTGCACCCGTGCCGGCATCCGCATCCAGCCGCGCCTGCCCCTGCACACACACACACACACACACACACACACACACGATCCACCGATGAAGCGGACCAGCCCCCGGAACCAGCCGACGCTCTTCCAAGCTCTGGGCGTCGAGCGCCCAGGCCAGCCTGACAAGTCTCAGCCCGAAAAGTCGCAGTCCGACAAGTGTCAACACGAAAAGCCCCGGACCTCCCGGCACCCGATGTTCTGGCTGCCGCGCGAGACCTCCGGCACATTGATCTATGGGGAAAGTCTGTCGCTGGAGGAGCATCTGCGCCGCGCGGCCGGCAAGGGCGCCGCGCCGAAGCCCCTGCGCGTGGCCGCCTTCGACATGGACTTCACCCTGATTCGGCCCCACCGGGGGACTTACCCCCGTGGCCCGAGTGACTGGGTGTTTTTGACGCCCGAGGGCCAGAAGGCCGCGACCGGATCGTCCCGCAAGCGCCAGGCCCCCCGGCGCCCGGTGACCACGGTCAGCCGGGACCCCAAGAGTCTGGCTGCCCTGGAAACCCCCCTGCGTGGGGCGGGTCATCTGTCGGAGGTCCGGGACACCTTGCAAGCCCTGCACTCGGCCGGCTGGCTGGTTGCCATTTTCTCCAACCAATTCGTCTCTCCGGACATGGAGGCCTCCCACCGGAGGGAGATGCGCACCAAGCTCGAGGACATCGCTTCGCATGTACGCCATCTTGTGGGTGTTTTCGTGCTTTTCCCCCCCCCCCCCCCCCACCAAGGGGACTCCCTTGGTCTTCCTGCTTCCTCCCCTTCCTTTCTCGGCCTCTTCCACCGGCCTGCCGGCGCCTGGGCTCTCGTTTCTCACTGGCATTGCCCATCTCCCTGCCCCCCCCCTGCCCGCCCTCCCTTTCCCTCTGGCAGATCGACATCCCCTTCTGCTTTTCGGCGGCCCTCTCACGCGACGGGTACCGCAAGCCCTGCCGGGGCATGTGGCTGCACTTTGTGGCTCGCATGGCCGACACTTACGGCCTTGAGATCGGTACGTTCGGCGAGGCTGCTAGCGCGTCCGGCCGGGACGCCATCTCCACGTGGCTGGCATTCACCCTCTTTTTCCGCTTGTCAACGCATGCATGTGGACACGCCCGGTGCATGTGTGTGTGAGTGTGTGAGTGTGTATATTCGCGCGCGCGCACGCGCGCACACACACACACACACACACACACACACGCACACACACACACACACACACACACACACACACACACGCAAACTCGCCCATAAGCACATGCATTCAAAGATGCCCGTATGCTAACCATACCGCCACCTGGCGTCCACTTTTTGCCCCCGCACCCCTTGGCCGAAAAAAAAAGATCAAGAGCGCTCGTTCTTCGTGGGTGACGCGGCCGGCCGGCCGAGCGACCACAGTGCCGCGGATCGGCTGTTCGCCGCGAACAACGGGCTGCCATTCTTTCTCCCGGAGGAGATCTTCTTCGGGACCCCGGTGGTGCCGGAGCTGCTGGTTCTGCGGCACTTCGAGCCGCGGAGCTTCCCCAAATCCGGGACCCCGGAGCACCGGCAGGTGCAGGACCGCATCACAGCCCTGACCCAGCAAGGGGCCCCTGCTGCCGGGGCCGAATTGGTCCTGCTGGTCGGGCCACCGGCCTCTGGGAAGTCCACCTTCGCAAGGCGGTACTTCCGCACGGAGGATGTCCGGTCTCGCGGCCTTGGTGGCTTCGATGCCAAGGTCCCGGTCGCCGGGTCCGGCGCTTCTGACGACGCCCCGGCGCCCGAGACCCCCGCCCGTCGGTACCTGCGCGTCAATCAGGATCTCCTGAAGTCCCGCGAGGCGTGCATCCGCCTGACCGACCGCCTGCTGACCGCCGGCCACAGCGTTGTCGTCGGTGCGTGTCTCCCCCCGCTGGCCGGATCCCCGGCACATGCCCATGTCAACTGGCGGGGCAGCATGCCCTCCATCACCATCAGCATCGGTATCGCCATCGCGGCGCTGCCCCCCCCCCCTGTCCTTCCTCTTCCCCGCCCTGCCTGACCCGCAAGCCTGCCATCGACGTGCCTGTCTCTCCTGCCTCTCCGCCACCACCCAGACAACACCAACCCCGACCGTGCCACGCGCGAGGCGTACCTCGCCATTGCCACGCGGCTGGGCGTCCCCGCGCGGGCCTTTGTTCTCGGCATGCCGGATGGCTCGGCCGACGAGGGGTACATGCTCCTCTCGCAGCATCTCAATTTGTACCGGCTGCTCCGGGGCGACACCGATGGCGACCCGCGAGACCTGGTCCCGCGCATTGCCTTCAACATCTTCTCCAGCAAGTTTCAGCACCCCTCGGTGGCCGACGAGCCGGGGCTCACCTCCGTGGCGGTGGTCCCCTTCCTGCCGGACTTTGCTCCGGCAGTGGGCCCGGCCGACGAGCAGGCCGACCTCCAGGACACCGCGCCCTCATCGCCCCTGGGACGCACCCCCAGCAGCTGGGAGGACATTCGGTCGTGCCGGGAACGCCTCTTCTTCGAGCACCTTGTTTGATGCCCGACCAGGTGCCAACGAATCGGGACTCCGGTCAACACGCGCCCGCAGGCGCGGGGAAGCAGAAAAAAAACAAAATAGACGCACACAACCAGGCGTGGTAGACGCGGAGGTGTAAGACATGGGGGGGGGGGGGGGGGCGGCCCTGACGACAAGACCTCCGGTGTTTCTTCTCCTTCTCTCTTTTTCTCTCTCCCCCGGAGGGGCTGGGCCCGGAAGTACGTGGGGGTGATCGGGGGCAGGGGAGCTGGGGCGCCAGTCCGGTACCGGGACCGGGCCGGGCCGGGCCGGGCGGTCGGGGTTCTCAGCGGCAATGCGCCGCTCAAAATGGCCCCCGGAGGGGGGAGGGGAGGCGCGATTGGCCACTGCCAGCCTGTGGTACGATGATCGGAACTGCGGAACCACGGACCGACGGAGCTAGCTAGGGAGGGAAGGGAGGCGAGGCGATGCGGACCACACACACACACACACACACACACACACACACACACACACTGGAAGCACCCGCCTCAGGAGGAGGTACCGCCCGCACCAGGCAAGTGGCGGCCTGGCTAATCACCCCACCTTTCCCGGAGCCTCTCTCTCTCTCTTCGCCCCTGCCCCCCCCCCTCCTCCTCGGGCTCTTTCCGTCTCCTCGCCCGCGCTCCCTGCCTGCCCAGCTCCCCGGTGCCGGACCCTGCCTTTGCCACCATGCCGGACGCCAGCACCCTCGCCCCGGGGGTGAGCATCCCGCGCAATCGCTCCGGCCTGCAGACCTTCTGGCACCAGTTCACGGCGCTCCTGCGCAAGCAGGCCCTTGTCACGGTATGTTCTCGCCCGACCGGCATGCCGGAGCGGGCTTGGCCGCCCCCCCCCCCCCCCCCCTCCTCCCCTGCCCCTGCCTCTCCGCGTCGCCTCGCCACCCCACACTAACATGCCTCGACCCGCTTGTCACCTGGCCCCCACAGGCTCGGAGCTGGAAATCCACCATGCTGGCCATCCTGGCACCGCTGCTGTTTACCCTGCTGCTGATCGTCCTGGATCTGCTGCCTAAGTCTGGCGGTAGCAATCCCTACAATCCCCTCCCCTTGAGTGCGTGGCATTTTGCCTTCCCCTGAGAGGGGCCTTGGCTGTGGGCCATGCCATCCCCCGTCACATGTACTGATCGACTCATGGTGGGCCTTCGCCCTCAGTCCCCGAGCAGCCGGTCCTGGCGATCGGCGCTCTGCCCGAGTGCCTTCCCTTCAGCAAAACCCCATCGGCTCCCTGCCGGGCGATCCGCTATGCCGTCGACCCAACCCAATACTATCCCAACTCGACCGTGAACACCATCAACCAGTGGTCCCACCAGGCTTGGAACGATCCGGACACCGAGCTCAATGTCGCACGCATCCTGGACCAGGTGAAGTTTGGTGCGCTCTCACCTGTGCCGGGGTCCCCGCCTGTGCCCTGCCTTGCCCATGGGATTCTCCTCTGCTCCCCCCTCATACACACACACACACACACACACACACACACCTGCCCGCACACCTGCCCGCACACCTGCCCGCACACCTGCTCGCACACTCCGCCCTCACACCCCCTCCTTCGACCATCGCTCCTGTCAGAAAACCACCTGGCCGACGAGGATATCGAGGTGCTGCCCGACGCGCGTCAGCTCAATGACTTCATCTTGCGCCACCCGAACACCACCGGCATTGGTACGCCCTCTTGCCCCTGTGGCTGCATGCGCGCCTGTTCCCCTTCCAGGTCGCTGCTTGGCAGGTCCATCCCTTTGGACTCGTCCGCTCACCCGGCTTCCTCCCTACTCTCCCCTTGCCCCTGCTCCTCGTTGCCGCTCGACCATCCCCCAGGCCTCATTTTCCACTCGGCCGTCCCATCCAACTTCAGCTACACCATCCTCTTCAATTCCACCTACACGGTGGTTGATCCGCGCGCCCGGCCCGATGGCCGGACCGAGCTCCAGGTGGCCCTCGACCGAGCAATCATCACCCTCTCGCTGAATGACACCCTCGGCGTGGCGTCGACCCCCGGGGCGGGGGAGATGCACCCGGTGGAGGTGGACATCGCTGACGATCCGCCCGGCGCCCGGCCAAGGGTGGGAGTGGACCTGCGGGCCTGGTCCAAAACCTTCCCGCAAATGGGCTACACACAGGCGCTCATTTCCTCGGATGAAGATTACGGCATGACCTTCTACTTTGCGGGGCTCACCCTGCTGCTGGTCTTCCAGCTGTACCACATTTCCTTCGAGACGGAGAACCACCTGCGCCGGGGGCTGACCATGATCGGGCTTCAGGCCCCGGCGTACTGGGCCTCGTGGCTGGTGCTGGCCGTGGGGTTTTCCCTGCTGGCGGTGCTGGTGCAGCTGGGCTGCGGGTATCTCTTTGGGTTCCGGTTCTTCACGCGCACCGATCCCCTGCTGCTGGGGGTGGTGTTTCTGGCCTTCTCGGTGGCCATGCTGATGGTGGTGTACCTGGCGTCGGTGTTCGTGAGCAAGGCCCGCACCGCGCTCCAAGTGGGCATGGGCCTCTTTGTGCTGGGCATGCTCTTCGCCTCGGCCATCAACAGCCGGGCCATGCTGGAGCTCCTGTGGAACTGGAGCATCGTTCCCCGCGGTGTGACCATCTTCTTCCAGTTCCTGCCCTTCTTCAACTTCGCCAAAATCATGGCCGACATCAATGACGCCTACAAGGTTCCAGACTCGGACGGTACGTTGGCTCCCGGCCTCCCGACTGTCGGTCGACCCCGGTCCACGGGAGGCACTTGGTCGTGCCCGCCGACACCACATCTAACAGCATGCCCCCCCCCCCCCCCCCCCCCCCCCCCCCACCCCCCACCCCCCCCCCCCTGCTGACACGCAGTATACTCCTGGACGGAGTTCAGCCAGACGCACTGCATCGCCGATGCCGGTGTGCCGTGCGCCTTTGTCGTGCCATCGGCCCTCAACTCACTCGGCATGCTTGGTCTGAACTTCCTCCTGTTTGCGGTGCTCTTCCTCTACTTTGACGCGGTGTGGCCGGGGTCCCATGGCCAGGGCCGGCATCCGGTCTTCTTCCTGTTCCCGAGCTACTGGCGGTCCTGGCTTCCGGCCGGCACGGGGTCGGATGCGGCCACGCGCGAGGCCATCGAGGCTGCCCTGGGCCAGTTGAATGCCACGCCCGGTGGCCCCGGCGGGCCGGTGCGTCTGCCCTCCGCCAGCGGCCCGGCGGCCAACCAACTGCAGCATGATGGCAGCGCCGCCCACGAGGCGGATCTGGTTGTTCGCACGCTGGACCAGCTGGCCACCCCGGGGGCGGATGACCTGGACCGCGAGCATCTAGATCGCGCCGCTGCCGGCCTGGTGATCGCCGGTCTGGGCAAGGAGTGCGTGGCTTTTACATCCTCAAGCCCGGCCCATTTGTGCTGGGCGCGCGGGGGGGGGGGGGGGGGGGGGGGAGAGGCCCGAGCCGCTTGATTGCTTGGCCTTGTTCTTGGTCATTCTCCCCCCGTCTCTGCCGCATCTTTGCGACCGTCACTAACTGCCATTTGGATGTCGGCGGCCCAACAGCTTCGTGTCGCTCAGTGCCAAGGGTCTGCTCCGCTGCCGGGATGACTGGAAGCGCACCCTCCGCGCGGTGGACCAGGTCTGCCTGTCGGCGGATCCCGGGTGCATCCTGGCGGTCCTCGGTGTGCGTGTGGCCATTTTTGTCGCGCGCGCGCGCTTCCCCCCTCCCTCCCTCCCCCTGCGGCACCCGCTTTCCAACACTTTGCCCCTGCAAGCTGACCCTTTCTCTTCCGGCGCCACCTCTCCCGCTTGCATCTCTCCTTGGGGAATCACTGTCGGGGTGGGACACGCGCTTGCCTTCCACCAGCACAATGGCGCCGGCAAGACCACGACCATCAACTTGCTGACCGGGTTCCTGTCGGCCACGCGCGGCGATGCCTTCTTCAATTATGGCCAACTGTCCCTGCGCCGGGACTTGGACCAGATCCGCTCGCTGACCGGTGTCTGCCCGCAGGTGCGCTGCCATGCCCCCCCCCCCCTAGATGGCCCGCTGGGCTCCCACTGACAATGCATCCCCCGGGCATCTGGTTCAGCATGACATCCTCTGGAACGACCTGACCTCGCGTGAGCACCTGGAGTTCTTCCTTCGCTTCCGTGGTATCACCGGTCCGTCAGGCGCGCTGGAGGCGTTGGTCCGCCAGTCGCTGCAAGAAGTCGGTCTGCTTGACGTGCGTTCATGATGCGCCTCTCTCGCTCCCCCTCTCTTTCCTTTGCCCTCCCCCTTGGGCTTCCCCGCAACTAACGCCCGGCGCCCGTGCCCCCTCCCATCCGGCTCAGGTGGCGGACAAGCGTGTCAGCGAGTACAGCGGGGGAATGCGCCGGCGCCTGTCGGTGGCTCTCTGCTTCGTTGGTGATCCTTTCATCGTCTTCCTCGGTGCGTGCCGCCTTTTGAGGCCAGCCCCCTCCCCCCCCCCTCTGCTCCCGTTGCACGGGGTGCCTCTTTTGCAAAGGGAGCGCCATGTCTCACTCTTGCCCGATGTCCTTCCTGTGGTGTCCCCCTCGCCGCCGGGCTTGCCATGTGTCAATTCAGACGAACCCACCACCGGCATGGACCCGTACATCCGCCGGGAGGTGTGGTCGCTGCTGCTCCGGCAGCGCAAGCGCGCCAATTCGATGCTCCCGCCGGCGGACGGCCCCCCACGCCGGGAGACCACCGGCCGCATCATCATCATGACTACGCATTCCATGGAGGAGGCCGACGTGTTGGCCGACAAGATTGCCATCATTTCCCATGGCCAGGTGTGCTCGGTCGGCACGAGCCTCTCTCTGAAGTCGGCTCACGCTGGCTGGCGGCTGAACTTGGTGCTGGCCTACGCGCCGACGGCCGGCAGACAGGCTGACGGCCAGTCGGCCGGGGGGCTCCCGGGGCTGGTGAGCTCCCTCCGGGGCTTGGCCGACTGGATGGGCCGTCTGGGTATGGACTTTTCCATCAGTGTGCCCAGTCTCGGGGACATTGGCCCCAGGGACCTGGCCGATGCGGCGCGCCTCGAAGCAATGCTTCCGGCCCCGGCGGCCACGGGTCCAGGCGGCTCCCTTGCCGCGGGCATGGGCCCTGCCGCTGGCTCGACCGCACAGCAGGTGGTCGACTCGCCGGCGGCCCTGGATGACCGGAGCCGGGTCGTGCGCGCGGTCCAGGCTCTCGCCCTGCAGCAGCTCACCGTGACCGTGACCTTCCCGTCGACGGTGGCCCGCGTATCCATCATGGCCCTGCTAGATGATGTGGAGGCGCGTGTGGCGGCCTGCGAGGCGGATTTGGCCGGACGTGCCGGTCTGGCCGCCGCCGCTGCCGCCGCCGCCCCCACGACCGGCGAAGTTCTGCTGGTGGACTTCAACCTCGGCCAGACTACCCTGGAGGATGTCTTCCTGGCGGTGACCGAGCAGGCCTAAGTTGCGCGGGGTCGCCCTCTCCTCCTCCCGATATACACGCAACCACACAAACCATGCACATATCCCTTTCCCCTCTGAGGGGGCCAAAAAATAAACACCCCCCCCCCCCCCTCCCCCAATGCATGAACTGTGGTTTGGTACCCGCACCCGTCCGACCAAGGCGCCGGCGCGCACGCGCACACATGTTTGGGCAGACATGGGACATGCCCAGAAGGGGAGGGTCAAAAATATGGGGAACACCGGGAATCGAACCCGGAACCTCTCGCACCCAAAGCGAGAATCATACCATTAGACTATGTTACACTTCGCCAGGGATTTATTATATTTATCCCCTTCCCTTTTGACCCCGTGCATCTGCGACGTCAGCCCCCCCCCCCCCCGACGTACCGTCGGAGCTTCGCCCCGTCCACCTCCTCCACACCCGCCGCCCCTCGCCCTGTTGAGTTGCCGCCTGTTGTCGTCTGTCCGCTAAAGCCGGTCAAGCCCTTCTCGCATGACCAGATAGCGAGGAGATCCATCTCTTATCGCCCTTGCTCCGGAGGACGGTGTCGACGTCGCTCCTCAGCGATGTGATTCATTCCACTTCATTTGCCGGTCCTTTCGCATGTATCTCCTCGCTTCCGGGCGCCCCCTAAACAAGAGCCCCCTCTGCTCGCCTCCCCCCCCCCCCCTCAAGGACACAGCGCCCGAAAGGATGGTCATTCTCTTAACAGAGGTCGTGACTTTCCGTTGCTCGGTCTCTGTGTACGCCGCTCACCCTCGAACGGTGTGATTTGGTCCCGGATGTACTCCCTGTTCGAGATGCAGATCACCAGCATATTCCCCCTTTCTTTATTGTTGGTTATTTGCCCGAGTGTAGTGACCCTCTTCGGACGGAGCACTTTCGGCGGTAGAGGGAGACTGTCACTGATATGTAATGAGTCCAGTCTAGAATCTCCGGATGCCACACGTGTCAATCCGGAAGGCCGCGACTGGAGCACCAAGGATCTGGAGCCTTAACTTGGTCAAACGCGCAACCATGTGAACTGAATGCGCAAGGCGAGACACCTGCGGAGGAGCCTCGACTTAACCCAATTCCTTGCTCTCCGCAATTGCGCTTTTCAATCCCCTTCACGACCCCACACGATCACATGACAGAGCCGAGGT